AAATGGAATCCCGGTGCGTTTTACGGCAGGTTCGGGTTATTTGAGAAAGATCCCGGCCGGCACGCGGCGGCGGCAGCGCGGCGCCACGGACCCACGGGTTCGGACGGTAGTTTGCCCTGCAGTCCAAACGTAATCAGGGCGCACCCGCCGTCTGGGAAAAGTGTCTAGGCAAACAATAGAGGAGAGGTGCGGCGGGGCGGGGCGGGGCGGGGTGGGGTTGGAGCCACACGCGGAAGAAATCGCGGTAGAGAGAGTGTGTTTGTGTGGGTTGCACGCGCGTGTGTGTGTGGATGGTTGGGGTGTGCCTGGTAAAACCCCAAAGTCCTGGGATGTGGGTTCGGTCAGAAAAGGACCTATCCAACTCCCCACCACGCGAATACGTCAAGGGTAACATTGCAGTGCGCGTCAATTTTTTCTTCTCTCCGCAAAAAATGCACCACGTGTTTGGTGACACATCGGCGCCGAAAACGGCCGGTGATCGACACGTCGGCGTCAGAATTGCCACTGTGCGAGTGTGTGTGTGTGTGTGTGCGTGTGCACCGTTCCATCGTGTTTTTGCCGCTGCGTGGTGCTGCCTGTCCCGTTGGCAGCGTGGCGGCCCGCTCCGCCGCAGGGCTCGACGCGTCGTCTTGCGCCGGTCCCCGGTGCTGCAGCAGCCTGCCTCCAGCCTGCCCGTCCCGCCTGTACAAACACCGTCTGCGTCGCTCCGCTTTACAAAGGTCGCAGAGGCTGTCGCACGGCACAGCCCGGTACGCGCCCATCCAGGACATCGTCTTGGCCTGGCCAGGCCCCGCGGCCACCTTCCATTGGAGGATTTTCTGTTTCCTGCTGAGGGAGCCCCAGAGGGACTGACGCCCGCAGGTGTGGTGATTCAATGCTGCTATCGCTGCTTCCCGCAGGTGTCAAAGCCATCGTGCATCAAGAGTGCAGGCAGAAAATCCTTACCCGAGTGCAGCTCGAGAAGCCTCCTCCAAGAGTTCCAGATTGCCAGAGCGCTTCCGCGAATCACTCCTTCGCCTTGCACCGCAGCACCGCGCCGCTGATGGTCCGGAAAAACAAGCGGCGTTGCGGGGCGTCCTCCCCCGTGCGAGTGTGTGAGCAGAGACAACAGGGACCGCCCAATCCAGGTGCTGGAGTGGTCTGGAGGGACGGGCTGCGGGGCTGAGGTCGTGCCAGACAAAGCCACACGATGAAACGGACTCCGGCACGCCGCGCCGCGCCACGCCACCGAGGGTACCTAATCTATTCCTCCGCCCGCACGACCCACGACGTCCGCCGAGACGCCGCCGTGGGGTCGCCGTCGCCACCGCGACCCGACGCGCAGTCCGGCCCGGCCCCTCCAGGGCCGGCGTGGGCGCAGGAGCCAGCCAGCACCACGAACCTTTTATTAAATGTCGAAGCCAGCCCGACAGATACCATTTTTTTCCCGCAATAACGAATTGTTTTTCCTCTTTTTACCTAGACCACTCCACGCACTGCACTTTCCGAAAACAAAGTTGACTCCTCTTTGAAACTCGGCACAGGGTAACAAATTTCACGGGAGTGGTAGGCCGGGCCGGTCATATTGCGTGATTGGGTGAGTGCAGAGCTGCAGAGCCGCAGAGGCACACAGACAGTGGTGCGTTCGCCCCGCCCACGGCACAGCCACGGCACTGCCACGGCACTGCCACGGCCCCGCCGCGCCGTGTGTCGCCGCGCTCCTCTTTGATAGCCGCGCTGTCAAGCCGGGAGAACCCTACACCCTTTGATATCCCAGTTCGACACCAGATTCTGGCCAATCACCGGCGCCACTTAAACTCCGCGCGCGCGAGCAAGCACCCCGCCCCTCGCCTGTGCCCCGGGCCGTCGTCGTGCCGAACTACCATGGCGATCGGTGGGAACCAGTTTTCCAGCACGCGGTGGCAAAGTTAGTGCGGAGTTAGCGGTCGGGCCGATCTATTTTTTCACTGGCCGCCCTGAAAGGGAAGCAACCGGGGCCAGCCCATCACGGCCCCCGGCCTCGTTCGATCCGGCGATGGTGCGGGCGGCGTCCGTGTCCGAAAAGCGTACACTGCTTGGCGGCGCCACTCCGCTAGGCGGAGGGGAATTCCCCGAAGTGGACGCGGTCGACGCGGTCGCGTAGTCGGAGGCTGCATATTCATCGCCAAGACTGCGCAGCGCGAGGCGACTGCTGACGCGGCCAGGCCGAGGGCCAGGCCGAGGGCCAGGCCGAGGGCCAGGCCGCCCTACTCCAGGCCAGACGGGGCGCTTCGTCCCATAATCACCTTTTTACGCCCTGGCTCCTGCTCATATTAATCCCCAATCAATGCGTTGTTGTCCCGGAGCAAACAACAAAGGTCTCTCCTCCACTCTGGCCGCTCCCCCCACCCCATCATCGTCGCCGTCTCTCCGCCCCCCTCCGTCCAATCACTCCTCTCCCTCCGTCCTCGGCGTCCTCGTCCTCCGTCCGCGCACTGCGGAATTAGACTGTTGTTGGTATGAAAGGGAGGGGCCGACGACCTGAGCGCTCTCTCCCCTTCTTTCCCACTCTTCTTTCCTTATTACCCCACTTTCAATGAAACTTGTCAGGAAGCTTTCCCGGCAGCGCGCGCCAAAATCGATTCACCGCGGTGTGAGAACAAGAGAGAGAGACAGAACCACCGACAGAGAGGGAGGGGGAGAGGGGGAGTGTCTGTTTGACTTGATATTCCCACTCGAGTTCACCGTGATTGAATATACTACAGACGACATATCAAACCAGACGTTGCGGTGGCGCACTCTCACAGAGCCACATTATTCCGTCTGGTGGGAATGCGTCGCGTCTGTGCGACCAAAAGAAGGAATTGGTTTAAACAACACGTCCAAACATTCTTTGCTTTATTCAAACGAATCCGGGTAGAGGTGAAGAACCTGCTCGCACCCCACAATCCTCTGCATAAAATTCCCCTGTCAGTAGTAGACTACCCACAAATACTTAAACAATCACTGAAAAACAGAAAACTTTCAAGAATAGGGTCCCCTTGAGTGCTGCGAGAGCTGAATTGTATTTTCATGGCAATGCATCCTATTAGTCCAGTGGCGGGACATTCGGCCCACAGCTCCAGACCCCACAGATTGGGGTTCGAGTCCGCCATAGTGCAGTGCCGGGGCCCCAATTATCGAGCAAACACATTATGTTGAAGTTGGGGCCGAAATAAGTTAGAGAGACGGGCAGGCTAGCTGCGCGCAGCCTTGACTACGCACTGCGTTGCGGTAATTGGACAGGGCAAGACGATACCCCGCCGGTGTTCTAGCGGTGTGCCACAGACAATGAAAATAGAGTCACAACTTTGTTGCCGATTGTGCGCTGACAACTTTTAGCAGCGCATCCGCTTGGCTGGCCCCGCCTCGCTGGCCCCGCCTCGCTCCGCCTCGCCCCGCCTTCACACCTGCACCACGCCCACGGCAGGCCCACGGCGAGCCGGATCGGGAACAGCCTTTCTCGTCGTGGCGCGCCCAACAGCGGCGCGATGAGGCAGCGCAAGAAATCAAATCTAATTCGGGCCGGGCGCTTCCATTTGGCTTTGGCACCGATGAGGGCAGAGTGCGCTTAGCCGAGCCCGTCGAGACGGCGCGCCGTGGCGGCAGCAAGCCGAGGTCGGCGCGGAGTGTCTCTGCGCGACGCGGCGCGACGCGGCAGGGCGTAAACGAAATTATTCCCGTCGGAAGGCGGCAGTCGTGAAAAAGAGATGGAGAAAGAAATATTTGGGGGGAAAATGGACATTGCTCCAAGATATTTTTTCCACCCGTTGGCGAGCGCTTACTGGACGGCCTACGAGTGGTGACGGTTCGGGCAGCAGTGTAAACAAGGCTCCGTGAACTTTCCGTCTTCCATTCCCGGGGGTGTATTGGCAGGCCTCTGCGACATCACTGGCCTGGTGCTCGTATCGCTGAGGTCGGCAGCGCAGCCAGCGCAGCGAGCGCAGCCGAGGATGTACCACGTACTGCAACCGTTGCATTGCGTGACTCTGTGTTGAAGCACTGTGTTGCGCTCCACGTCGCTCCCCCTTTTTTGTTTACTTTTGGTCATCTCCCCTTTTTGGCGATGTCCGATTCAGTATTTTCAATATCAAGTCGGAACGCCCGTCATGGCCCCGCTGCTTTTACGCTGCGCGCGCGTTTGGCGACAATAAAAAGCTTTCATGTGCGCGGCTTTGGCCTTTCGCTGCGTTGTTTTCTGTTTGTCTCTCGTTTTTGTTGCGTTCCCCGTTTTCATTTATATTGTTTTATCCAGCGAGTTTAAGGTGCTTTATATACGAGCCCCAATCGCCATTGACGGGTTTGTATATTCTGCAGTGCGAGTCGATTAATTTGAGCCGGCAGAGGATAAACGGAAGACAACGGGCTTATGGCTCGCAGTGACGACATCGAGGCCCAGGCCTTGCCCAGGCGATAACGACGGACTCTTTTTTTTTGGCGGGGCGTGCATCGGAAACTCACAGAGATACATGCCACAGCTGCTATCAAGCAACGCATATGGACAGTTTTGAGCCCCGAGGTCCTTCAATTCCTGGTTTCTGGCTATCCATCGTGACATAAATGTGTGATTCAAAGTCCAATTTGGGGTGGTGACTCAATGTGTCCATTGGTATATGGCCCTTCTGAACTAGATTCGTCTGGCCGTGTACCACATAGGCGGCGTACCGTCTTGACCGGACTTTGGCTGACGAAATACTCGACTTCGACTTGGGCCGACTCGGCGTTACGCAAATGGCTCCCCTTCCCCGTGGCCCGGATGGCCGGGTGGACGGCCGGGGGACGGTCGGGGACGGCCCTTGCCCCGAGAGAATAGCGTCCGGGGCGCCGCCCCTTCGTAAGGCGCGTCGGGCCGTCCGAACGCCGCCCCGCACGCCGCCACACTAGTAATTGGATCAGCAAGCACTAGTGTGTTAGGAGGGCTTCCCATACGCCGCGCGCCCAGGCCGCCACCCAGACCAGGGCGGGGACAGGGGGCGGCCCGAACGGACAGTCGCGGCCGGCCAGCGTGCCGCGTCGGATGGGACTTGGCGGCGACTTCGAGACGCGGCCCAGCGGATTGGATAATCTCACGGGTGAGTGACGATGAGTACACCTCGTTTGTGGGAACGCCGCTACGGCCACAGTCAGGACGGTGGTCCACGCAGAGACAGCACTGTGAAATTTGACTTGAACTGATATCACGATGGCTCTGATCGGTCACTGAAACAAAGAGCAATCCATTGGTGTCGTCATATCTCCGAGATGAGTGCTACGGAGCTCAAAACATGTTCAGACATGTCAGTAGTAAGGTTCCCCCTAGTAACCCTTCGCCATTTTGGCGCCCCCAAGTACCTTACGACCGACACCGCGAAGTTTGACTTGAGTTTATCACACAATTGCTCAGATGGGTTAACCAAACGAAGAGCAATCCATCGGTGCCATCACCTCTCCTAGATAAGATCTACAGAGCTCAAAACAGGTGCAGACATGTCAGTCGTATGGTTCACCCAAGCCACCCTCGCCATCTTGGCACCCCCAGGTACCTCTCGGGTTTTCGTTTTCGATTCATTACGAAACCACTGGCCCTAAAATAGCCCATGGCTTTCCCCCTTTGTGCCCTTCTCTGCGTGTGCTGCCCGCCATTCCAAACTTTTCCGGACCGAGAAACTGCCGCGGTCTGTCCCCGGCACAAGCGGCACCGCACGGCCGCCAGCCAGGCCGCCAGCCGACCAGCGAGTCACGTGGTTCACCCACGGTTCGCGGCGCCACCATTGAACCCTCTCCGCGAATGACCACCGCCACGTTTCAACCACCGCCTCGATTCAACCCCTTCACACCGAGCGTCAAGCGACGCCACGCCCCGCTAGCGCATGCAGGACTGGAGTTAATCAGGGAGCTGATTCTCTGTCCGTGCGGGTGGGAGTGGGACTGGGACTGCGCGCCGGGCGGCCCGACGGCGGCCGAGTGGCCGGGCAGGCGCCACTCCTGGGAATTAAGACCATAAAAGACGTCGTTAGGGCGCAATGGTCAGGGCTGCACCGTCAACCAGGGCTGCAGGCTGATTCCGAACGCCGTCGCTCTGTCTCTCTCACCCTCATGGGGCGAGGCGTAAGGGTGCGAGGGAGCCACGACGACCTTTCCGCATCAGCCTGCAGGGTTGGCCGGCCCTCCACTCCCCTCCTGCAGCCGATTGCACGCAAATTAATAAATCCTTCTCTTCCGCAGCGCCGCCGCTGTTCCGCCGCCGTGGTGATGAAGAAGAGGAAGGCGTACTCGTCCAAAGCGGCGGCAGAGGCGAAGCGCAGCGACTCGGCGCAGCAGCAGAAGCAGGAGGAGGAGCAGAAGAAGAAGCCGACGAGCAAGCTCGGGCCCAAAGCACTTCCGGGTAGCGACAGGTAGGGAAGCCCTTCCGGTGTGTCCGGCACCCTGTTGGCCGAGGGTTCAACCAGTGTGGTGCTGCAGGGGCTGCGACTCGGAGGACGAGAACGAGGGCTTCGGCAACTGGCTTCGCTCCACGGACGGCGTCGCCTACATGCGCCTCTTCGTGGTGGCCAACTCGCTGCTCGTCTTCATGACCATGAGCTGGTCGCACGTGTGGCAGGTGGTGGACATCCTCCGCGACGCCGTGGGCCTGTGACTGCTGCACTGCCCGGCCCGGCCCAGCCATGGCGGTGGGTGGCGGTGCGTTGCGCGCGCTCGTCGTGGCGGGCTTCGTGTGCTGGTACAGCACGGGCGTGTTCCGGGCCATGGACAGCCACTTCGGCAGCCACTTCGGCCAGTACCTGCGCAAGCAGATTCGCAGCAACGAGCACATGCGCAAGGACCTGGAGGCGGATCGGCGCGCCATGGAGCGGGTGCTGCAGGCCAAAGGCAGGGAGCTGCCCGCGCCCAAGGACGACAAGTCCCTGCTCGAGGACCTCATTCAGCGATTCCGGGGCGCCGAGCAAGGCTTGCAGCGAGCGGCGGGCAGCGACGGCCGTCGCCAGGCGTGCCCCGAGAACCGTCAGTCGCTGGACAAGCACGGCCTGCTTGTCCCGCTGGAGGAGGCCTGCGTCGCGGTCCAGGACGAGGTCCAGGATGACGGCGCAGATGACTCCTGCCCGGCGGCGCGCGGCCCTCCGGTGTGCGAGGTGCCGCCAGCCGCGTGAACTCCGTGACGGACTTCTCAAAAGATTTGTTGTACACTCTAAATAAATGAAAATAACGGTGCTGTGATTTAGCGAGCCGGGCGACAAATGAATGCCTTTTCGCTTCACCGGGTGCCAGTCGGGGCGGCGAGGCCGCGGCGCTGCGTGTGGCCAAAGCTTATTCCCGCGTCGTGAAATCGTGAAATCGCGGCGCCGAAATCGGTAGCCATGCAATCACTCTCTGAATGGGCGCGGCGCGTCCGCGCAGCCTGCACAGTCTGCACGGGCCTTTCACCAGAATCTCGAGATTGCGTTTATAAATAACGTAACGTGGCGACGAGGCGGGGGTATTATTTTTAGCGCGTCTCTCACTCGCTCTCTCAGACAGAGCAACCCGCCGCCTGACGAGTTGAAAAGTAGTCGTCTGGAAGTAGTCGCGGAGGGGCGGCGTCGCGGGGCGAGGTGCGAACTGCACCGGAGAGAGTAGCGGCGCTTACACAGTCTGCCACGAGAGCGCGCTGCAGTCCACCGCAAATCCTCATTTGGCGTGTATGTAGCAGCGCTTTGCTCTGGTGTATGAAGCCGACGTCACTTCCCCCGCCCCCTCCGTCTTCTCTCTCTCTCTCTCTCTCTCTCTCTCTCTCTCTCTCTCTCTCTCTCTCTCTCTCTCTGTCGCTCCCCACTCGGAGGCCACCGGGGGAAAGACAGCAAGTCTCCGACATGAGCAGAACAAAGTGCGGCGGCCAACTGGCCAGCGCAGTCGGGGATTTATCCAGCTCGAGCCCCCTCCCCCTCCCCCTTTCCTCTCTGGCCCCGACGCCCCGGCAAACTCGCCAGCCGCTCTTGAGTTGCAGTGCACCTTGTAGTTGCGGCGCACGGTTTACCCCGGTCCGCCCCCAGCCGCCTCGACGCAGCACGCCGCCGCCGTTCCGCAGAATTCGACGCGGAAATGGATGTGAAAATGAAACACATTACCCACCGGGCGCCGCGCCCGTCGGGCCCCGTCGCGGCGCCGCGGGAAGGGGGACGCCTTCGTCCGCCTTCGTCGGTCTCTATGGTTCCGACGAACAAGTAATCTGGCGAGGCCACCGCGGTGGGCGACATATGCCGCAGGTAGCGGGTTTCTCATTGGTCTGTGACAACCTGACGGGGGCGCAGGTCACTTCTCGCCTCTTTTTTGAACAACCAGCTTCAAAGTTCCCCGTTGCATTTTGACTTAGTGTGGTGCGTGAACAATAAACTCAGCGGTTCTCAACCTTGGGGTCGCGAAAAAATTTCGAGGAGTCGCTTGGCGTTGCGGCGGTTTCCCAGCTGACCCACACGCCGAAGCACTGGCGGGAACAACTTTTAAGTTGATCAAAACGGTCACAAATGTCTGTGAAAAATCGTGTTTTGGGCCGACTTTAAGCGGCCACTGCGTCTGATCCGAGGCGGTATTTCGTCCTCCCTTAACGGGCAATTGGTCTTTGGACCTTCCTTTAGCATGCCTTTGTTACGGAGTGCGATTATCTGACTTAGTTTGGGAGCAGTATTGCCGCAAAGTTGATCAAAACGGTCACAAATGTCTAAAAAATTGTGTATTAATCAACTTTGCGGCAATACTGCTCCCAAACTAAGGCAGATAATCGCACTCCGTAACAAACTCATGCGAAAGGAAGGTCCAAAGACCAATTGCCCGTTGCGGGAGGACGAAATACCGCCTTGGATCAAACGCAGTGGCTGCTTAAAATCAGCCCAAAACACGATTTTTCATAGACATTTCTGAGCGTTTCGGCCAACTTTGAGAAAATACTGCTCCCAAACTAAGACTGATAATTGCACTCCGTAACAGAGGCATGCTAAAGGAAGGTCCAAAGACCAACTGCCCGTTGAGGGAGCAAAATGCCCGCCTCTGATCAGACGCAGTGGCTGCTTAAAATCGGCCCAAAACACGATTTTTCAAAGACATTTGTGACCGTTTTGATCAACTTTGCGGCAATACTGCTCGCAAACTAAGGTTAGGTTATCGCACTATGTATCAAAGGCATGCTAAAGGAGGGGTCGCATGGGGTCGCGAAATTTTTCCTGGGGGTCGCGGAAATTTTTGGCTGCAAATTTGGGGTTGCGAACCGAAAAAGGTTGAGAACCGCTGACCTAACTACTTGACCGGCCCAGCTTTCGACGGTCACCTGCCCCCAGGCCAGACCATGTTCACTGAGTTGGCGGGCCAATGCACCCCCTCCCCTCCCCCGCCCGCCAACAACACACGATGCGCCTATTTGCATCGGATTCGCCCCAAGTTATATCATTATATGCCAACAATACAGCGCCGCATCCCGACCTGTCAATGGGAGCGGGTAAAGCGTTGCAAGTGGATTTTGTTTTGCGCTGGAAGCGCACAGCACTCGCTCGCCGTAAGGCGTCCGTTTTCCCATTGTCTTGCCGCCGCGATGCGAGCAGTGTAGCGCCGCTTCCGCTACTTTCCGAGTGCGCGGTGCTGCGCTGTGCTGCGTGGGCGGCACGGCTTCGAACTCCAGCGACGCATTAAAATCGCATCGGCCCGCTGGTGCCCATTGGTGCCCGCTGGCTGCACGCAGAGTCCCGCGTTTGGCAGAGGCGCAGTATTTCGACCAACTCGTGGTTTTGCCGGCCGCCTGGGCCCGCCCGGCCCCGTCCGGCCCCGCCACGCCACGCTCGGGGCTGTTGCTATTATGCGTTTGGGGGTCGCTGCGTCGCGCCCGCAGAGCTCCGCGGCCCCGCACGGCCCCGCCCGGGGCGAGTTGGCTGGACCGGAATGGATTAAAACACGGCGTTCCAAAACCCCGAGCCTTCAGCGCGGCCCGCCCCCGGCCCGCCCCCGGCCCGCCCCTGTCCCTTCCACCTCGACAGTCCCTCGCTTCCTGTCGATTCCACACTCCATTTCCTGCCGGCCGCTGGCCGCGCTGGCCACTCGACACACGGCGCGCCGCGGTCTGCTTTCTCGCGCCTTTCGTCGCGTCGCCTCGCAGGTTGACGCATTGCAATATGTATTCGTTTCCACGCCTCGCCTCGCCGCGCCCGTCGCGTCTGCTTGGCTCCTTTCTCGCGGAAAAACTTAATAAAATGAGAGCCATCGTGTCATAATAAAGGCAGATGGGGGAAGGAGGGGGGCAGGGGAGCACCGTCGGGCGGATAGCAATTTATTCTCTCGTCGTGTCTGCGTCTCGGTGCCTTTCTCCTCGCCCCGACGTGATTAACTGCTTGTCGCGGCGCTTCAAACCAGACGCTCCAAATTCGATGCAGCAGAGCCTTGAGAAGGCGCCGCGGCGCGCTGCAGCGCAGCGGCGCATTCCTGGGCAGTCGCGCATTAATATTCGTCTGGGCGATGCGCCCGTCACGGACAGTCACGGACAGTCACGGACGGCTCGATATCTCGAAATCGCTGTAGCTCGAGTGTCGGCAGGAGGCTTGTCGAGCTGGCCAATCAAAGCCTTCAAGTCGACTTCCGTCCGTAACAAGCCTCACAACTTGGCAGGAATCTACTCAGAGTTATCGCCTGCTGAAAAATTGTCGACATCTACCGACTTCTGCTGATGAACGCTTTCAGAAATTACAACTGTAAATAAAATTAAACAAAATTTCCAGAAAGTTTTTATTTTATTTTCGATCAAAAATTGCAGGAAGATCCTACATAAGTTCATCTGCAACTCGTCAAAACTAGAAGAAGGTCTCCAAGAGGGTTCGACTATCGTCGCATGGATTCGCGCACCGCTCGCCGTCCGTACTTCCAGGTGCCGTGCCTGCTTGCACTCTGCGCGCCGTGCGTTCCTCCCTCTTTGACAAGAAGCGCGGGCCATGTTTGATTCGCAGGTCAAGAGGCCCGACCCGGCCCGGCCCGACCCGGGATGGCTGAATGCTGGCTGAATGGCGCCGGGATTTCGGGATTCTCTCCTCGAGAGGGACGCGCAGAGATTGGTTTGATCCTGAAGAGGATGACGTCGTTGTCGATACAGACAACAAACATTGGACGATATGAATGGCGCGCACACAGAGCCTTGGCTTTCGAACCGTCTGCCCGCCTTTTGCCCGCGTTCCTCCGGTATTTGGTGAGCTCTGCTCGGCTCTGCTAGCAGTACCGTCTCGACCTCGTTGACTCCACCTTACTCCACCTGGCAGCGTCGTCGTCACGCATGCACATCGAGCCGTGGGATGTCCCTCAACTTTCACACAGCCAGCTTCAGGCTTCCCAGCTTTCCAGCTTCCCAGTAGTCTGGCCGGAAAGTTTAACAAGTTGGAGAAAAACTTGGCCGCGGCAGGGCAGGCAGGGTAGGCCGGGGGGATGGAGGAGGCAACAGGTCTGTGTGTGCCTTGCTGCGCCTTGCTGCGCCTTGCTCTGCCTTGCTGCATGCTGGGCTGTAATGGGCAGGCACGGACGCGGCAGGAGGGCAGAACCCGTGTATGTGTGTGTGTGTGTTGTGTGCGCCTGCGAGTGCCTGTGACGCGCTAAATTTTAATGAGAAATGTCCGCCGCGCGTGACAGCGATGCCGCCGAACTGCAGCCAGTGCTTTCTCTCCTTGTAACTGGCGGCTAAGCGCGAACCGCGGTAAAATGACTACTGTGCGCTTCTTGTGGGGCTGCAGGGGGCGGCGGGGGGCGGCGGGGGCGGCGGGGGCGGCGGGGGCGGCGGGGGCGGCGGGGGCGGCGGACTGGGGAGTGAGACGCCCGGAGACGACGAACAAGAAAGACAAGAAGAGAGTGCGCTCGACCGGAATCTCAAGTCGTCCCGGCGCCGCCGCCGTCGCGACGCGTCACGTTGCCCGAGAGGTAATTATTGTTCCGACTGCTTGCCTCGCTCCGCCTCCCTCCCTCTCACGCGTCGCGCGCACTTCCTCCCTCAAGTTTGAGTTCTGCGGGCGAAAAATAATTGGCAAACTCTTTAGGTGGCAGCCAAGTGGCCGAAGGGGACCGAAGGGGTGGGGGGAGGTGTGACGCGAGGAAGAAGAGCAGCGCCAACCATCGCTCTGTCTCTCTCGCACTCGCGCGGTCCGAGTGGGAGTGCGAGAGAGACGGAGCGACGTGGTGCAGGCACACTGCGGGCCGAGCGGATGCGCGTCTACCCTCCGCCCCACTATCGCGCCGGGCCGTGGAATTTGATTACCTTGGCTGCCTTGGCTGCCTTGGCTTCGGTGCTTTGTAAGTTTACGACCGAGCACGCCACGCCACGGCGGGGCTGGGCGCCGAGGACTCGGTGCATGCAGCGCCATGGCAGCGCCAGCGCCGAGACGACAGCAGGGCTTGCAGTGACATTGGCGCCCAAACCACGCCCCGCCGCGCCCCGCCGCGCCCCGCCGCGCCCCGCCGCGCCCCGCCCGGCGCACTTCATGCTCCCCGTCACCCGGGCGCCTGCCCCGCCCCGCCCCGCCCCGCCGGCAGTCCCAGGGCGCCCGTTTTCGTTCCGATGTCGGCGTCGGCGCCTCGTCGCGTCTAGAGACCTGCCGAGACAGGCCTGCGCGGAACACGCGGCGGACAGCTCGGTCGGCACTGAGCGCTTACCTGCAGCTGCGGGCTGTCTCTCTCGCAGGGCGTCCCGCGTGAGTGCGAGAGAGACAAACAAAACGCGGCTCGGACGCGCCCGCCCGCCTCTTGTCGAAAACGATATTGCGTGGCGGCACGCGGCGCCGCGGCGGATCGCGTCTTGGCCGCACAAAAGCTGCGCGCGACCGTAAAGCAACGCGCCGCCCCGCTCTGTCTCTCTCGCACCTCCACGGGACGCGGCATGAGTGCGAGAGAGACGGAGCGACGACTCAGTCTGCAGCAACGCGCGGCGGCAGGCCATGAATAATGAAAGGAACGGTGGAAACATATCGCGAGAATCGCTGTCGGCAATCAGCGCGCTGCAGCCCCGGACGGCCCCGGACTGCCGGACGGACAGATTGGCCGAATGGCGCCGAATCGGTACCTGTTGGACCTGCCGCGCCCTGTCTCTCTCGCACTCGCGGGGAGTCTCGCG